AGAGAGAGAGAGAGAGAGAGAGAGAGAGAGAGAGAGAGAGAGAGAGAGATGAGCGATACAAGTTTGGTTGTCACTTACCTCTGAAGTGTGCCGTGCAGTCCCACGAAGTGAGAGGCGGCCATAGCCGCGGAGCTTGACCACAGAGAACGAAGGAGGTTGAGGGAGAAGGTGGAAGAGGAGACTGAGAAGGGAGAGAGATGCCGTAGCTGAGAAGGAGAGGAGAGAGACGATAAAAAAAAAAAAAAAAAAAAAAAGGGAAGAAGACAGTCGGGGTGGCGAGAAAGGAGGCGAGGAAGGAGAAAGGAAGGAAAAAGGAAGGAGAAGGGTGGCGACAAAAGTGAAGCCGACAGCCGTAGCCGACCGGAGGAAGTTGACCGGAAGAGTTGACCGGGAGTTGACCGGGGGTTGACCAGGGGTTGACAGTAGCGTTGACCGAGCGTTCACCAAGGCGTTGACCAAGATCGTTGACCACGAAGTTGACCAAGCTGGAGCCGGTATAATCTCGCCAAGCCTTCAACCTATCCCCTCGCCCTATGGATGTGCACACCTCTGTGGTACTTGCTGAAGTAAAGTCTGTCTATCTCTTCTTTCTGCATTGAGTCTCTTCTGTCTAGGTGTAGGAACTCAGTGGATGAAGGATAGGGCCTCTTTGACCAAACCCCTTCCGGACTAAGTAGGGCTAAAGACTGTGTCTGATGACTCGACTGTCCCGGAGGACACGAACCCTCCCAAGGACCGGTACAGACCGGCGGGCTGCTCGGTGTGGCACGGTAGGCCCGAAAAGCTGAGTTGTGGGCTGCACAACAGGCAGTCTAAGTGTTGAGAGACCTGCTGATCGCGTCGTCCTGTCTGCGACATTAAATAATTCCTGAGGAGTTACGGGGGATCTCCTTAAATGCCTCCTGATCAGCAATAGGTCTAGTAGTGACAGCCTTAGAGTAGGTCTAGGCTAGAGACCATAGTTGATAGGATCCTGTCCGGATTTTGTAAGTCTTAGATTGAGTCAGTCAGTGTGTTAGTCAGGGGGAGCAGAGTCTCAGTGGTGAGGAGTGGAACCGTTGTCTGGTTGTGCACCAATCACCATGGTTGACACACGTAGTGGGAAGAGAACTGCCCCCGCTGAGTCCGAGCAGGCCCAGATTGCTGCCATCCTGAAGGAGAGGAAAGAGAAGAGAGAGCTGCTCAAGCACGTGAAGTTAAAGGCCATTGAGGAGGAGCACGCGACAAAGAAGAAGAGATTGGAGGAGGAGCTACTGAGATTTCAGAAAGAGAAGATGATGATGCTAGAGAGAGAGGAAGAAGAGAAAAGGAAGGTTGCGGAAGAGGAAGCAGCAACAGGGGAAGAGGAAGACGAAGAAGAAGAAGAGCCCCTTGAAAGAAGACGTGGAGAAGAGATAGGGGAGACAAGCGACACAAAGGGAGAGGACGCGTGGATGGAGAAGAAGATAACAGAGTGGGTGGCTAATTTATCGTTAGGGGAGGATGAGGAGGCACAACTATATGTCTCGCAAGAGGAGAAGGAAGTGTTTGCCAGGGAATTGGAGATGATAGAAGATCCCCTGGAACGCCAGACGATAGAGGACGAGAAAAAGTTGGAATGGAAATTGAAAATGATGAGGGAGAAGAAGAGGAGGAGAGAGGAGGCCAATAGGGTGGCGAGAGAAGTTGAGGAGATTCAAGCCTGTAGACAGGAGGTGCAAGCACAAGCTGAGGTCCCCGTCAAATTAGACAGGATCCTGGGGTACCAAGAAGTCTTGAGCAAGGCTTCGGTAGAGGAACATCAGGCCGTCAAGGGTCAAGATGTGACCCTACATGCCATCCGATCGGGGTTTAGGGAGTTTGCGCACGACGTGGTAACCCACGTCGGGACCGAGGTCAAAAAGATGAAGGAAAGCGCACAACAGTTCTGTGCTGGCGCCATTGCGGTAGAAGCCGAAGCACGCCCCCGCAAGGACCCAGTAAAGCTCAAATTTCTTGACGCGTACGGCGGGAAGGAGGAGGAGAATTTTGATAATTGGGAGGCTAGTGTTAATAGTTACGTGTACTTACAACACATCTTGTTTGAGGAGCAAGTCCTCGTAGCCTTCCAGTCCCTGAAAGATGAAGCAGCCAGTTTTGCTAGGTCCCTTGCGCGCGCAGCCGGTTGTGAAAACAACATGGTTGCATACTCAAAGACCACCTCACTTCCCCAGTTCCTCAAACTCCTGAGAGAGCGATTTGCTGATCCCGCGAGAGGCGTCAGGGCCTCTGATAAGCTTCAGACCATTCACTCGCGGCAGTGGAGGAGTGCGAAAGCACTCAAAGCTGTCATGGACGACTTGGTGGCTGTCCTGGACCATGGGGTCACAGAGACCCAATTGGTCCGGTTATTTTATCGTGCCATGCCAGAGCCCCTGAGAGGGCACTCTTTTGGCAAGACCCAGCAGCCCAACATCATGTATGATTCGTTGAGTAGGGAAGTGGTCTTGTTTGAGGCCAAGTCTATGCCAGTTTCCACTTTCTGGCAAGGGCAAAAAGTGGAAGGGTGGTACCATCTCAGGCCAGGTCAGGGCCAAGGATCATTTGATCCTTACTTTAGACGAAGGTGGTACTGACGAGGTCCCATACGGTCAGATTGAGTGGGGCCTCGATGAGGAGGACAGTAGCTTAGGACAGGGGAGGTCTTATGCTGTTGTTGCGGCTGGAGGGAGGCCGCCAGGTAGAGGGGGAGGCCAGGGCCAAAGGGGCCAGGCCATGGGACGTCGAGGATCGGCCGCACAGGGGGTTGGTGGTCCGGGGAACCGCCAAGCGGGAGGTAGGGGTCAAGGCCCCCCGCCAAATCGCCAAGGTCCCAGTCGGTCCCCACAGCGACGAGGTGGCAGGTCACCTCAGAGGTCAGGAGGTTGGCACTCGGGTTGGCCACAAGGCCGGCCCTGGGAAGATTTGGGCCTAGAGCAGAGAGTGTGGCAACAACGAATGGAGCAGGTGCAGTGCATTTACTGAGGTGACCCTGCCCATATTATCAAATACTGCCCTAAGTATAGACAGGCCCGTCCCAGGAATCAAAAGGCAGCCGCCGGTAGGGGTTGCAACTGCCCCTACTCTTAGGCCATGTGGGGAAGCGAGTGCGCGCATAGAGGAAACTCCCACACCACATGTGCCTTCAACAGAGATTGCAGGCCCGCGCCTAGTTAGCTGTCCAGAGACTGCTTGTGTCAGTGTCTCTCTAGGCACGTCCCTCACAGGCGTGGCAAAAGAGTTAAAGGAGAGGATGCCAGCCTTAGCCAAAATGAAGAAAGACAGTAAAGGGCAGTTAGTGTTAGTAGATGTAGAAGTTTTCAGGAGTAGAGTTGGGGCCCTTATAGATTCAGGGGCCACCCGCAGTTACATTAGCCGTAGAGTGCTGAAAAAGTTGAGGCTAGGATTGAAAGTCCAAAAATTAGCAGACCCGATAGTTAGTGTCCTCGCAGACAACCGCACTATGCGTGTTGAGGACTACGTAGAGGGAGTCCAGGCGTACTTTCGCCTAGAGAAGGATGGGGAGGTGGAGAAAGTTCTCCATTCCCTTACTCTCCTCGTACAGGATGACCTTCCATTTGATATAGTCCTAGGCATGGACTGGGGAGAGGCGGCAGGGGCCACACTCCATTTGAGAGAGCATGAGTGTAGGCTCCCTAGTCCGTCATGCGAAGTTAAGACTGCTCGCCTGTTCCATGTGTCAGGAGTAGACAACTCCTTGGCACATTGCTGCCTCAGTGCTCCCGCGTTCGCGCGACTAGTGAGAAAGGAGCAGTTAGAAGACCAGGTCTTTGTAGTGCATGTTAGACCTGCCATTGAGCCTAAGGAAGAGGTTAGTTCCACGGATCCAGCCATTGCCAAGTTGCTGGAAGAGTTTAAAGACTTGTCTGAGCCGCCGACAGGAGTAGTGTCGCGGCCAATCGAGCACAGGATAGAGATAGAGCCTGGCAGTAGAACTCCTAAGGGAGCAGTCTACAGGATGTCCCCTAGAGAGTTAGAGGAGTTGCACAAGGAGTTGGACGAGCTCCTTAAGAAGGGTTGGATTAGGCCCAGTTCGTCTCCTTTTGGAGCACCTGTTTTGTTTGTCCCCAAAAAGGAAGGAGAGTTCCGCATGTGTATAGACTATAGGGGTCTGAATGCGATTACAGTCAAGAATGTTGAACCATTGCCCAGGATAGACGATCTCTTAGATCGGGTGCAGGGTTGCAAGTATTTTTCAAAGATAGATTTGAAGTCCGGTTATCATCAGATAGAAGTCCATCCTGATGACCAGTACAAGACTGCGTTCCGGACTAGGTACGGGCATTATGAGTTCATAGTTATGCCCTTTGGACTGACCAATGCGCCAGCTACGTTTCAGCGATGTATGAACGATCTATTTTGGCCTTGGTTAGATAGGTTTGTCGTAGTCTATGTAGACGACATCCTAGTTTTCAGTAGGACACTCCAAGAGCATCCGGGTCATTTGAGGCAGGTCTTGGAGAAATTGAGAGAGTCAAACTACAAGATCAATGCGAAGAAGTTCGAGTGGGCCAAGACACAGGTTTTGTACTTGGGCCACGTATTAGACGGAGATGACATTAAGCCTGAGGACAACAAGATAGCGGCAATTAGAGATTGGCACGTCCCGCACGTTGACAGAGTTGCGGTCGTTCCTAGGCCTAACTAACTACTACAAGAAGTTCGTGAGGAACTTCTATCACCGCTCCCTTGCGCAGGTTGCTTAAGAAAGAGGCAATCTGGCAGTGGGATAAAGACTGTACGTCTGCGCTAAAGAGGTTAAAGGGCGCATTGATAGAGTGAGTACCCTGTCCTCAAGGTCGCAGATCCGTCCTTGCCATTTGTCGTCACCACGGATGCAAGTCAGTATGGGATAGGCGCTGTGTTACAACAAGACGATGGCAATGGCTACAGACCCGTAAAGTTCATGTCAGCGAGGATGCCCTCAGAGAAGGTAGCCACCTCGACGTATGAGAGAGAACTCTACGCTCTCAGGCAGGCCTTAGAGCACTGGAAGCATTACCTGCTTGGGAGGCACTTCAAAGTGTACTCCGACCACGAAACGCTCAGATGTTTGAAGACACTGGCCAAGATGACACCTAAGTTGACTAGGTGGGCCGCTGAGATAGACCAATATGACTTTGAGCTCAAGCCAGTGAAGGGCAAGTACAACGTAGTTGCGGATGCTCTAAGTAGGAGATCAGATTACTTTGGAGCTATAGTTCACTATCTGGACATAGGGCGTGACCTGCAAGAGAAAGTTAGACAGGCGTATGCGGAGGACCCTATCTATAGTGACCTCCTCGTTGAGGAGTCACCAGAGACCGAGCCAGATTACCGCACTACAGAGGGACTGTTGTTTGAGAAGACTAATGTAGCAGACCGCCTGTGCATTCCCAACAATGAGGAGATCCGTAGTCTGATTCTAGGGGAATGCCATGATACAGAGGGACACTTCGGTTGGCAAAAGACTGTAGTCAATCTCATGCACGCGTATACATGGCCAGGAATGAAAAATGACTGCATAGAGTATGTCCGCAGTTGTAAAAAGTCTGTCAGAGGAACCAGACTACTACGCGTGCCCTTCTAGGTCTTCTCAGACCTTGCCTATTCCAGATCAGCCTGGAGATTCAGTCTCGATTGACTTTATGGACGTCGGTGTCAAGAGTAGACATGGCAAGAGCCAAGTCATGGTCGTAGTTGATAGGTTTAGCAAGTATGCCATTTTCGTTCCCTTGCCTGCCGAGGCACGCACAAAATTAGTAATACAAAAGTTTTTTTATTTTCGGATTAGTGAGCATGGAGTCCCGTTGTCCATAGTTAGTGATAGAGATAGTCGCTTTACCAGCCAGAACTGGCAGGAACTGATGAGAGTCTATGGGTCTAAGTTGTTGATGTCGTCTGGCCGCCATCCAGCGACTAACGGTCAGACATAACAAATGAACAAGATCCTGCAACAAGTTTTGCGCATGTACATTAGACCTGATCAGACTAACTGGGACGAGATGTTACCCAAGGTAGCCAGTGCCTATAATAACAGTGTACATTTGTCCACTTGAAGGACTGAACCGAGATCAGATTCACAGGCTACCGCCTGGTACCAGGGAGTTTGCGATACAACATGAGAGAGAGATAGCTGCTGTTATTGAGAACCTCAGGAAGGCCCAGCACCGTATGATAGAGCAAGCTAATAAGCACCGTCGCCGGTCACAGTTTCAGGTGGGCGACTTGGTCTGGGTTAAGTCTAAAGAGTTTGCACCTAAAGAGAACATCTCGCAGAAGTTACTGCCGCGTACAGAGGACCGTGGCCAGTTCTAGAAGTCAAGGGCGGAGAGGATGGGCCGTCCTACACTATAGAGATCCCAGCACACCTCCACACCTACCCTGTGTTTCATGCATCAGAGTTACTGCCGTGTCACAAGTCAGCAGTTTCCCTCTAGACGATCCATGATCCCTCCAGACATGGACGAAAGATATGACATTGACGACATTGTAGATGAAAATGTGTTCAGAACAGAAGGTAGAGGTCGTCCACAGAAGCAGTATAAGGTTCGGTTTGCATATCAGGAACCGGAGGATGACCGCTGGTTCACGAGAGTAGAACTTCTAGAGACAACTCCCGATATATTAAGAGCCTACGAGAGAGATCGAAAAGGTAAAGGTCCTACCTTGGACTGAGTTATTCTTGGAGGACCTCGAATTTAGGCCGGCGGGAGTGAAACGGTATTCACCAATTCGCAGTCGTTGATGCAGATCCCAGGGCTCAATCCCTAGTTCCCACTTTTTACCTGTGTATAGTATCTGTGTCTGCCCTTAGAGTTGAACCTGTGACCGGTGTATTTGTAATAGTGGTAGACTGTCGTAGGGTCCTGAGGTCGCAGGGGTTCAATCTGTAGACCTGTCGAGTAGGAGTCTTAGTCAGGTCTAGACGTCGTAGTTGTAGCTTTCCCGAAAGGTCAAGGTCGTAGCTGCTACAGTCGAGAAGGGTCAGAGTCGTAGCTGCTACAGTCACGAAAGGCCAAGTCTACGGCCTTCCGGAAGGTCCCAGCAGTGGCCTTTCGAAGTTGCCCACGTTTAGACTGAGGCAAGTGGGCAAGTGACGAGGCAAGTGGTCAAGTGGTGGAGTCTACCCGTGCTGAGTCAGCAGTCCCAGTCCCCAGTCAGTCCTGGTCCAGTCCAACAAGTACCGCATGGGACTATGTGCACTTCGGGCATGGGAAAGGGCCAGACCAACGCACTGCAGAAGTATAAATCAAGAGGCAGCGCCCAACCATTCATTGATTCCTGCGTGAGCCATACGGAAGCGCTGGCACAACGACTTGTGCAAGGATGTCTGCAGTGAGCCCGAGGACGAAGTGGGCATAACGATAGGGTAGTGGCGGCCATAGCTGTAATTAGTGTTCAGCGCGCGTGTGTGTGTGTGAGTGTGTGTGTTCAGAGAGATACGTGTGGGATATCCAGGGTGATCCATGACATGCGAACAAAAAGAGTTGTGTGGGCGTTGAGTCGCCATAGCCATGGAAGCGAGTTTGTACATGAACTGAGTTACCATATCTCTGAGTTTTGAGTGGGCGCTTGTCGCCAGTATGCTGTGCACCTGTTTGCATGTACGAGAAGTGTGAATGAGAACGAGTCTG